CAAATAGCTACTATTATCCTTATTTAAAAAACAATATAAGGAAAATAAGGTTTAGAATTGTAAAGTGAAATGCTCAAGATTAAATAATAACTGCAACACATGTTCAGTCAGATCAAATTTAGTTCAGTCTTAGTTCACACTTAGTTCAAACTTAGTTCATAAGATCTTACGTTCTTGGAAACACTGTTCTGTCTCTTTCTGTAATTTCAGTAGACAATGGAATATGATGTTGATATTTAAGACATGGAGCAAAACATAACAGTTTAACACAGGTATGAAAGCCTGTTTTTATATAATAGAAATGCTCTAGATAAAATATATCACTTAGCTATAAGTAAACATCTAAAGAAAAGAAAAAGTAAGGAATATGAAGTTATACATTGAAAAGGAAATATTTTAAGTTTAAAATAATGACTAACTAAAATGGATTGTATCACTTCTAGTTCAGTGGTCATATGAGGACCATTGCTAGAAAATATCATTTCACAAGAGATACTCAGTGCCTATTAAGGAGGTTAGGATAAGAAATTTATTGGCAAAAAAAATTATCAATGAAAATATGTCCATTGGATCAGGAGAATAAAGACAGAAATTTTGGATGAAGAAGAGTAATTGAAAACAGGATGACTGAAATATTAAACTGTACTTTCTAAGAACACAGCAGGTACTCTTGTTCAGAAAGGTAGAAGCATTAGAGTCCTCTGCATCATTTGCAGAATAAAAACATGCTTTGGAGATGTTATTGCCCTTAAACAGTGGTGTTCAACTATATAAAAAATGGAAAATTATACCCAAGGAAATGGTCTTTACCTTTGATAAAATTGATTGAATCCTCATAAATATTCATTTAATATACACTTTCTTAATATATAATAATTCTATCTTCCTACATAAAAATTCATTCTATTTCTTATAAAGATAATTACTCCTTACTCCATTCACTGCCCTGACACAATCAATATAATATAAATTATTCTACAGAAACAACTGTGCCTTATTAATGCTTAAAATAACATTTATGCTTTATTACTTGTATTTAATATCAAAATTTATCTTCATGTAGCCAACACATGGAAGATATTCTAATGCAATATAAAGAAAGCATTTATCTTTAAAGCAGAATGTGGCTTGTCACTATTTTGTACAGCAGATTGCTAGGTTTTATTCATTTCTCATTACTAAAAGATTGCACCCTTTGATTAACAGCTCCCCATTTCTCCCGCCCCCATCCCCTGGCAACCACTATTCTACTCTGTGCTTTTTTGACTATTTAGATTTCTCTTACAAGTGGTATTATATAGTATTTGTCCTTCTGTGTCAGGCTTACTTCACTTAGCATAATGTCTTCCAAATTCGATCAGGTTATCACAAATGGCAGGATTTCTTTCTTTTTTGATCCTGAATAATATTCTGGTGTATGTATGTACCACATTTTCCTTATCAATTCATTTGTCAGTGGACAGAGGGCTATTATAAATAATGTTGCAGTGAACATGGGAATGCAGGTATCTCTTTCAGATCCTGAGTTCAACTTCTTTGAATAAATATCCAGAAGTGTGATTGGTGGATCACATGGTAATTCTATTTTTAATTTTTTGAGAAATGTCTGTACTTTTTTCCATAGTGGCTGCACCAATTTACATTCCCACCAACACTGTGCAAGGAATTCTCTTTCCTCTGCACCATCTTCACCAATACTCTTTTTTTTTTAAATAATTTTTTTTTAAAGATGTTATTTATTTATTTGACAGAGAGAGATCACAAGTAGACGGAGAGGCAGGCAGAGAGAGAGAGGGAAGCAGGCTTCCTGCCGAGCAGAGAGCCCGATGTGGGACTTGACCCCAGGACCCCGAGATCACGACCCAAGCCGAAGGCAGTGGCTTAACCCACTGAGCCACCCAGGCGCCCCACTTTTTTTTTTTTAATAATAGCCATGCTAACAAGTGTGAGGTGACTTCACATCATGTTTTTAATTTGCATTTCCCTGATGATTAGTGACATTGAGAACACTTTCATATACTTGTTGGCCATTTGTAAGTCTTTCTGGGGGAAATATCTTTTCAACTCCTTTCCCTGTTTTTTAATCAGGTTATTTGGATTTTTGCTATTGAATTGTAAGAGTTCCTCATATGTTTTGGATTTATTGGATATATGTTTGCAAATATTTTTCCATTACATGAGGTGCCTTTCATTTTGTTGATGTTTTCCTTTGTTGTACAGAAGTATTTTTTAGTTTGATGTAACTCTAATTGTCTATTTTTGCTTTTGTAGTCTGTGCTTTCACTTTCATATCCAGGAAATCATTGAAGACCACTGTCAAGAAGACTTTATGTATTGTTCTGGTAATGTTATAGTTTCAGGACTTAAGGCTAACTGTATGCTTAAACATTTGCTAAGAGGGTATATTATGTGTTCTTATCAAAAATACTTATAATACAGGGATGGAAGGAAACTTTTGGAAGTGATGGATATATTTATGACATAGATTGTGGCAATGGTTTTATTGGTGTATACTTATCTCCAAACTCATCAAGTTGTTTACATAAAGCATGCACATCCTTTTATGTGATAATCATACCTCAATAAAGTGGTTCTAAAAAAGGAACATAGTTTGGATCACTTAGATGGCTCAGTCAGTTAACTATTTAACTCTTGATTTCAGCTAAGACCATGATCTCAAGGTCTTGAGATCAAGCCCATGTCAGCTCTGTGCTAACCATGGAGTAGGCTTGACATTCTCTTTCTCTCTCTACCCCTCCCTACAGCTCATACTCTCTCTCTCTGTCAAATAAGCAAACAAAAATAAATAAAATCTTTTAAAAAAAATGAATATAGTTTACCAAATTTTCAATTGACCAAAAGATCAAAAAAAAAAAAGAATTACATTAACAAATCCTACTTCAATATCCTTTCTTCACTTTTCATTGCCACTTTTTTAGATCACAGACTATGTCTTAAAGACTACAGGAAAACCAAAAAGTATACTTTCATACTGAATTTAAACAATCATGTCAGTAGCAGAATTGCCATTACAATGCCCTACTATATTTTCAAGGCTATGGAAACAACTATCATGTCTTCCTGCCTTTCTCAAAAAGGATTTTAATCCCAAAGCATTGTGAACGATAAGAATCATTAAAAGAAAGGACATGTATATAGATCTTAAAGAAAAAATATTTTAGGCATTTCAAGCTCTTCTTTAGTTTGATAGAGATATGGGAATGAATTGGCTTTCAGAGCTATAATTAAAATTATGAAAAATTCCAAGGATTAGAGATTACATATTTGGATTCCAAAAATCCTCTTTGAATAGTGATTCACAAGAGCATGGAATCATGCTTTAAAATTAGCAAACAGAAATGCCTATTTCCATGGCTTTAAGCAATAATATTACTCAATATTAGTAAGACCAATAATTATTATCAGAATATAAAGCATTTACTGGTGAGTATTATGTGTACTTTAAACAAGAATTAGAACTTTTCATATGTTAATTTTTATAAACTATCTGTGACTATATTTGATGAAAAATACATCACAGTAATAAGGGTTTTGTTTGTTTTTGTTATTAAAGAAGTTATACTTAATGGTTTTTGTGATGGTTCTACAATATAGTAAAAATCACCTAAAGATGAAGAAACACACTTTGTCATAGGATGACTCATTAGTTATGTAAAAGAAAATTAATAAGCAGAGAAGTAAATAGAAATAAATGTTTGTAAAAATATATCCAATTGGGGCTCTTGGGTGGCTCAGTGGATTGAGCCTCTGCCTTCAGCTCGGGTCATGATCTCAGGGTCCCGGGATCGAGTCTCACATCAGGCTCCCTGCTGAGCAGGGCGCCTGCTTCCCCCTCTCCCTCTGCTGCTCCCCCTGCTTGTGTTCTCTCTCCTTCTCTCACTCTGTCAAATAAATAAATTCTTAAAAAAAATATATATATATATATATATATCTCCAATTGATCATATTTTAATACAATAGTCTAACACTTTGGCCTTCCAGGAAACAGAAATCTGGATTTCTTTGGACTGTTACAGAAGCATATTTCTTACAGAAATGATTGCAAATAGCCTTTGAAAATAAGAAGCCACAGTGAAGATAGAAACAAAACTGAGAATCAAAAGCTTCTAGTATTTAAGAGTCCTATTAATCAAAGATCAAGGAATATTCTATATATCTGAGCTGATAAATAGCCCATAGCTTGTCATGAATGAGGTAAAATATCTTCAAATATTTTATTAGTATTTGCATCACAGCACTAAAAATTGAGAGAAATGTCTCACTAAAACATCAAATTGCCATTCAGTAACAGTAACAATATAACATAATTTTTTCATACTGAAGAATTCATATTTCAAACTGAAATTCTGAAAAGTGAAACTAAATTTTATGGGATTTCAAATTATTCATGAAACCAGCAGTAAGGTGTCAAATGCTAAAAAGTGCACTAGAATAGCAGTCAGGAGATCTAGGTTGTAATAACAATTCCACAAACTTTTAACCTTAAGCAAGTCACTTAATTAACATTGGATTTGGTTATTCATTTGTCGAACAAGAGGTTAGAGCTCATGCTCTGGGAGTTCCCATATCAGATAAATGACTATGAACTTGATAAATCACAGGTATCAATTACCTTCTATGAGATGTCTATTTTGTGTCAAGTGATAAACTAGACTCTTTGTTTGGAATATCTTAATCTATAGTAGAAATACCTTCATTTCAGAGATTTAGAAACAGATTCAGGGAAGGCAACTTGCCCAATAGCATACAACTAATAAATGCAGGAGCTGGGATTCCAACCAAGCGCTGTCTATCTCCCTGCCCTCATGCCAACTCTGTCATACATTCTGATTTTTATCCAACTGATGACAGAATATTCAATCATTCAAGCTGCGTGACAAAACTTAAAATAATTGCTCAACTATCACATAATGACACTTAAAAAGCTTCTATTTGAACCATAGCCATCAATGATTCAATAAGAAGTTTTTATTACTTACAGCTGTTCCAAAGATATGAGTCCTTTAAATGTTTGCTTATCTAGGGCATGAATTTCGTTCTTGTACAGATACCTGAAAAACATATAAAATTCTATTAAGTTATGAATTTGCATAGATGCCACATTTCTTATATCAGGAATTTTTAAGCTACAACGTGACTCTAAAGAGCTTTGGGATGTTAATAGATTCCCTAAAAATATATGGAGACTTTGATTTCATTTAAATATGTCCAAGTATCTGGGCAAGACAGTTCCAAGGCTCTTGTCAGATTCTCAATGAAATCCTTGATCCAAAATATTAAGGATCACTGCCTTAACTTCTAAAACTTAGAGTGATTGTAGAAAAGTTCTGACTAATGAGGTCACATGTACTGGGTAACAACTTTTCTAAGAAAAAGAAAAGTTGCACTATAACAATTTTTTTTTCAAATTCATTCTATCATACAGAATATATTGAACCAGGAGTTATATTTGCAAAGCTGGCAAATATCATAGGACTCATCTGAAGGGAGTAAACACATATTAACAGGATCCACAAGATGTATTTTGGTTCTCCCATGGCTGCTGCTGAAAACCTACAGGAAAAGAACCTGTTAATGGATTTACAAATATGATGATGTAACTATTCCGGCCAAAAGATTTAATGAAAACAATTTACACAACATATGAACACTATGTTCTTTTTTCATCAACTATAGGATAGAAAAGTTATTTCATCTTTTAGATCTCTATGTGAATACTTTGTGAATGTCATGAAAGTGAAATCTATATCTTTTCTACTTGTGCCTCTGGGGATCTGAGGCTATCAGAATTCCTAAAACTTTCTACTGAGTTCCTCTGGAATGCATCTTTGCATACGCTAGAGCTCATAGTGACTTTGAATGCATCAGAATCACCTGGTGGTTGCTAAAAACAACTCCTGAGCTTGCCCCCAGCCCTACTCAATCCAATTCTCTTGGGGTGAGGTTTAGGAAACTGCACTCTTAACAAGTTTCCCAGTTGATTCTGAAGTAATCTTTCTGCAGATGACTTAAAAACCATAGAAGCCATAATCACAGTTCTAGTTGAAAATGAAAAAGATTGCTTTTCCAAAATGTGCTTAGGGAAGCTTTGGAAATTCCAAATTACTTCCTCTTCTCACAGATTAGAACCTCTGTAAGTTTCTCAGAACAGTAGTAGTAACTGGTAGAGATTTATGTCTTACTGGAGATATTTCCTTAGCATTATTTGGTACTATGGAAAATCTTGCTTTTACCTAACAATCTCAAAAATATAGCTATATGTTAGGAAAACAAGAAATGGAATTTTCTAGAACCATGTTTCTTTAACTAGCTCATAAAGACTATTGAGCTGTGGTCTCAAAAACCACCACTGGTTCTCAACTATGGTTATGATCTGGGAAACAAAAGCAGAAGAAAAACTATTAAATTTTCTTACTACTTAGAACCCATTGACAAGTCCTTGAAACAGGCAGAGTGACATTCCTCTAGGAACCCAGTTGCCTCGATTTTAATACTTTGCTAAGTGCAAAAGGCAATCTTAGACTGACCTGCAGGATTCTGTAAGCCTACTATAACATATAAAATTCCTTTGGAAACTTCTTTTATCTCTAACCCCCAAGATACATGTTAGCAATCATCTTCCAAACATATGACTCACTGATATACATCTGAAGATCCTCATGACTGTGTTTTTACTAAACAGTAATAAATAACATTTTCCTAACAATAGCTAACCCCCTCAGGACCCTGGAAACCTTGTTTCCAAAATATCTGGGTGGTTTATGCCATCCCTAACTCCCTTCCAACTTGAAAGTATATAACAGGCCATTTTTCATGACCCAGTGCTGCTCTTTCTGCCCACAGGTCCTGTCCCTGTGTTTTAATAAAGCCATCTTTTTACACCAAAGACATCTTAAGAATAATTTCTTGGCCATCAGTTTCCAACCCTAACATTTTTCCTACATCAATTGTGTGTGAATCCATGTATAGGTACACGAATCAATATTTCAAAGACATCATTTTGGCTCTATCTCAGGCCTTATACTGATATCTGGGATACTGCCTCTGTGAACTCTGATTTCATAATGGGTCCACCATGTGAAATAGCGCTGAGATTCTTCAAAATTCCAAAGATGATAATAATATGTAGAAAAGTTTAAACCTATATTCTATGGGTAGAAACCAGGTAAAAAGTATTTTGTAAATTTATTCCAGAGGATTCAAATATTCCTCCCTGGTAAGAACCCTTATACTATCAGAATGTCAAGGAACCACATTACTTTTCAGGTATCATATCCTGAAGCATAAAAAATTGACCCAATTTCTGTAAAGATGTGTATAAAGGATTAAATTGTTTTTTTATTACTATCATATTCAAATAATGATGAGCTGCTTCATAAAAACTAAACTACATTATCAAATATTCATTGAGGAATCTCAGAACTGAAAACCACCTGTAAAATTTTATATCATATATACAGATTCATTTTAGACTTATATCTTATAGAAAACAATACTAAAAAGGTGACCAAATGGTATTTTAAAAAGAAGCAATAAAACTTCTGTAGTTAGATATGTACATGTTGATTAAAATGATAATGTATGCATTCAAGATACACTGCTCCTTAAGTTAACAACAGCAAGAGAACTTCCAGCTTCCTGTGGGATAATGGAAACTACCTGAATTCAAACCTCTCCACATATCCTAAAACTGAACTAAGAGGAAAAAACAAATCATCTAGAATACAACCTATGCCATGACTAGGAGAAACAGAAAATCAGTAACTTAAATTCACATTAAGTAGGGGAAATAGTAACACCAGCAAAGTCAGATCCAGAGGCTGTCTTGCAGAAATGGGTCAGGCAGGATTTTATAGGCAAGGGAGATGGATGGAAGGGGTGGAAAAAGAAAGCTGAGAAAATACCAACCTGATGAAAATCTGTCTGAGCTCAGGGGAATCAGAGCCCTAACTCCTGGGAATTGACAGAAAAGGGCTGAGAAAATGAATAGGGGAAGCACCTTACAATTGCTAAGCATCTTGTGGAAGAGTGGTATTAAAGGTAAAGAAGGAAGTAAGAAGCCAAAGGGTCTTACAGAGACTAAGATAATATCAGATAATCTAAAGACACACCCAGGGGCACCTGGGTGGCTCAGTTGGGTAAGCCTCTGCCTTTGGCTAAGATCATGGGCCCAGGGTCCTGGGATTGAGTCCTACAAGAGACTCCTTGCTCAGTGGGGAGTCTTCCTGTTTGTGCTGTCTTGCCCTCTCTCTCTGTCAAATAAATAAAACCTTTAAAAAAATTAAAAAATAAAAACACACCAAAAAAGGCTAGACTGAATAAAGTAATTGTGATTCATTCTGTCAACAGAAGAGCATGTCCTTGAACTAAGAAATAAGCCATCCAAAGCTCTCTTCTCTACCCTCATGTCTAATCACCTGCTACTCAAATCAAATGTTAGTATCTAAAGTTGAGAAATTTTGCACAAGAAAACAATAAACTCGTCTTATCTTTGAATATCAATGCAAAATTAATAAAAATATTAGCAAACTGAACTCACCACTTAGTAGTTCTAAGGACCAATATTTATGATAACCTTCTAAAATAATAAAAAAAAAAATGGGGCAGAGGGGCCCAATGGCAGAGAAGTAGGAGACCTTGTTTCAATCAGTTCTCTGAGTGAGCTAAATATCTACCAGAACACTCTGAACACCCATGAAATCAGCCTGAGATGTAAGATTATACACTTCTGGGTCTCCATGGGGGCAGAAGACATCAGTGGAGAGGTAAAGTGGAGTGGGAAAGGTCGGACTGATATTGGAGGATAAACAGAAGGGGAAGGAAGCCACCAGAAGTGACCCCTTGGAAAGTAATACCCCAATACAAACTTGGAGTCTGGTTAAAAGCACTCAAAAAGAGCAAAAGATCTTAAGGGCAACTGGTGGAGTTGGGTGGTCATGGACACAGGCCTAAGCCCATGTTCCCGGACAGTCAACACAGGCAACCAGCCATGCCAGAGAGAGTCCAGAAGGGCCTCCAGTCCATGGTCCCTGAGCCCGTGGCTTTTCACTGCTTGCACCACCACTTAGGCTTGGTACACTCCTGCCCAGGCCTGAGAGAGCCAGTGCAGGTGGTGACTGGTGGTATCTAGGACTACAGCCTTCTGTGACTAGCAGAAGGCTCTGAGCGCTCCCAGCCCACACCTTAGAAAACCCCATGAGATCTCCGGTAGAGATTCCTTGGCCTGCAGCTTTCTGAGACCTGTGCAAACCCAGTGCCTGAGTGTACTCGGCATAGGCCTGGACTCCAGACAGCAGTCCCAGACTGCTCCTGGACCAATATAGCTCTCTGGACCAATATAGCTCCTGGTTTTAGTGGCACAGGGTGTGCAGAGACAAGTGGGAGCTTTGGGGAACTACTGGGATGATGGTGCACACTGCCTATGGGAGGTTATGTTGTTCAGTAGAGTTTGAAGATGGGGAGTCTGTGTGTTCTGGACCACCCAGAGGGAAACAGTCTGAGGCTTCTTTCTGAGGTGGAGGTCTAGGTGTAGACAGATTCTTTCTTTGCTCTGACCCTCTGAAAAGCCACAAAAAGCCGCCAAAGAACAAAAACCTCCAGAGAACAAAAGCCTAAAAAACCAGTTTCCACAGAGCCAGCCCCTTGATAACAGGCAAGGTGACTCAACCCAAACAAGATGGGAAAACAATGCAGCAGACACCTCCCCCAGAGGACAACCCAAAAGAACAAGAGGACAACCACCACAGGGTCTCCATAAAACTGTGAAACCCTAACATCAGGGGAAAACAATATATTAACATCCTGGTATTGGCCTAAAACCTGTATATTTCTTAGATACAACTTTTCTTTCTTTCTTTCTTTTCTTTCTTTCTTTCTTTCTTTCTTTCTTTCTTTCTTTTTTTAACTCATTCTCACAATTCTTATTATCTTAATTTTTGAACCTACTTACCATTACAACTAGAAGTTTAATACAACATATTCCATAATAACTTTGTAACTTGAACTTTTTCATACAAATAACTGTTTCTTTTCCTTTTTCTTTTTTTTTAAA